GGAAGAGGGTAAATAATAAGATTGCTCCTATTTGACACAAAACAATTTATATATATATTTTCAAATGATTTTAATTTCTTCATAATCCATATACTCATTGTAAATGGGAGCTTTCTTAAATTTTAACTTTTCGTCACAAAAACTTTGTTTAGTTTTCGTAAGTTTTCGTAAGTTTACTTTTAAGTTTACTTTTAAAAGTTTAGAATTTTGTTTAGTTAATTTTGTCTTTCAACTACATTTTAATTAGCATTCACTCTAGTATTTAATATTCAAATTTCACACTTTTTTTGTAGTTTTAAAAATTGTGGTATATATTATAATCTTAAGAATTTACTTATAGGCATTTCCAACATCCTTATGAGATCGATATCTAAGACTCCATTAGAGCTCTTTATTACTTGAGCGATATGTATAATTATATTATTTTTAAAGGTGATTTGGTAGTTTAAAGATTTTTAAGAGATAAAACTATTTTCACTAAAGTTATTTTTGTTGGGATTAATTTGTATATTTTCTATTGTATCTTTCGTGTGCATTTTGTAATATTGAAAAATATTTGTAAAATTGACACACTAAATCCACTTGCATCACTCGACCTGTAGCCTGGTATCATTTGGTTTGATCGGCCTTCTAATGTTAGATCGCCTGTTGGTCGTGCTATGTCTGTCGGCTCAGTTACATACCTTCAGTTGGTCAATTTTAATTGCTTCACATTTTGTATTAGCATATTCATGTTCATATCTTGCATTGCTTGCGTGTGTGTCATGTAAGTGAACATATTCATCTGTGCTCCAGGCAAAGTGTATTCCTCTTTGGGTGGCTAGTGCCCTGCATAATCAAATCCATATTCATTTGCATGTTGAATCATGATTGTTTGTATGTATATCATACATATGCTACATCATGTGCACTTTCACATACACCTTGGAGCACTTTGTGTTGAGCATATGCTTCCATATGCTCACTATGAATGTTTAACATATGTTGAGGGCTGCTAGTTCACTTCATGCTAGTCCATCTTGAGAATTGTTTGATGAGTCATATCACTCCGTGTGTGACCCCATCGTGATGTCTCATCCATGTATGTACATTCACACTACCTTATTTGAATATATATATGCATATACCTTCTGCTTGTTTTTTGTATGTGATTGTTTCACTTCTTGTAATCATGTCAAGCTACAAATCATGTCCTGAAATGTGAACTTGGTATAGTTTAGGGGGTCACATTAGTTTGCTCACACTTAGCAAGAGCAACATGAAACACTAAAGTGTCTTTGGCATTTAATATGAATATTCCTACCTTGTTGAGACATTCATGTTGTGTCAATTTTTTTAGTGTGTTACACATGTGCACTCATATTTTACTTAAGTGACTGTAACATGCTAAACCACCCTTGGAATTCAATTTGGATGTTAACACATCATTGGAACATCCACATTGCACTATCTCACATAGTGTGCCACACATGTTCACTCACATTTAGCTCAAGCAATCGCGACATGCTAGTCATATTTGCATCTTTACATGTACATCACTTAGTCCATTTTGATCAAAAGTTGATCCATATAGACATGTGACCCATTATTGATTGTAATACTTAAGCAAGCATTACTCGCGAGGATATCTTAGTGAGCAATGTGAGTTATTATATTATCATCAACATATGGTATGCTCGTGTTAAGGTTCAAGAAAATCTAAAGTACTCCACTTGCATGGTTTAGACTTTTATTTATTAGTCCTATTTTAAAATATAATTAAATTTATATTTTCTCTATTTATACTTTATGCCTTATACTTTAAAACTACAAAGCTAGATCATATGTAAGGTTTATCTTTTAAAATGTAATCTTGTAGTGATGTACATAAGATCTTTTGTAACTTTAGGATGGAGCTGGTGTTGACAACCCAATCAAAATCATATTATAGACTTTACCCACACTTTGCACACACACTTAAATGTATGTGACTAGGCCACCTTGTTTCAAGATGCTTGTTAGACTAAGTCTAGGGCATAGTGAGGTTTTTCATATGTCATGGGTATTTTTCCTTAGTTTGCACCCCCACCAAGTAGTTTTGCATGCTGCTTTACGTGATTACTGACTTTGAGGCTTGCACACTAAATTTAGAGGCAGCTATTGTAGGGTTCCATGTACAATAAGGAAAGAGCTGTTATGATTTATGCTAACACATTTTTTGGATATGCTATTTAACTCTCCTCCCACCGGACATGAACTATTATATGCTTGCATTTAAATAACCTGTGCTAACCTTTTGTGTTGCAAGTCGAGACTATTTTTTACTTTTACTTGTATTATTATTTAGAGCCCTTAGAAAGTCTGTATTGAAGATAAGATATGAGCACTAGTTTTGATTTGCTTGATGCACCAAACCACATGATGAGGACTAGGAGCAGCTACTTGTATTCCATATCTTAATTTTGAATTTCATATTAATGTATAAAATTAGGACCATACATGTAAATGAGGATCTTGATCACCTTTTACTACTTTTTGGGATATGTTGCCGACCCAACAATACCCAACCTTTATTTATTATGATTATTCATTTTCACTTGGTTTATCTTATGTGGTGTGTTGATTATTTCATTTTCTTTAATTGTGGATTGTCTGAGATGCTCATTGAATATATAATTTAGGCTCTTTAGGATTAAAATATCTTATTTCTATGACAATCCTAATAATTAAATATTGAGCTTAATTAAATTTTAGGATTAAAATATCATCACTTTAAAATCAGTATTTCATTTTCCGCCTCACATTTCTGCATGACCTTCGAGCTGGTTTTAATATGGACCGCATAACATTAAATCTTCTAAATCATATTTAATAGGGCCTCGAAGTTTATGATTGTTTTTAAAAAATTGCATCATTCTGCATGTTTCGAGGGGAAGTTATCGTACTTCCCCAATCTTACCGGCCAAGCATAATATTTCTACCTAAGTGGTCATCTAACGCGTTATATGATGCTAGAGGCTTCCTCAACCCAGATGGGGTGTAAGTCTTTTGTGGAAGTATTTTCAGCTTTATAGATAAACCTCTCTTTTCTATCCTTTTCAATGCTTTCTGGTCATTTATTTGGTTGGTATAAGTCTCATCTCTTCGAGCTCTACCATTATAGGGTCATAGGAGTTAGAGTCTTGCTTCCATTGACCTTAGGTCCACTGAGGTTCTCTTAGACAACATAACACATAGGGGTCACTAGTCGGGTTGGGTTGACTACCTTCTTAACTAGGTAAACTTAAGGTCTCCATAACTTGGGATGATGGATCTATAATATATTAACACGAATCTATCTACCTACTAAAGAATTTCTCCCCTTTTCTTGATATACCCCTTTTGAGCCCTGTCGATCCTTATAACACCTCGTTGATATGAACTAGTTGGCCCCATTTTGCTGACAGGCTTGCTGACCTTTTGAAATATAGTGATTCACCTTCTACCTTATGGCCTAGTTAGACCTTAAAGTAGTGGGATGGTCCTACTTGATGATTTGATTATATCATAGGCCTCATTTGCTGATGAACCGTTAACCTTATCGGGATTATGAGAGACTCACTCTTTGCCCATGTGGTTTAGAGTGAGTTTTGAAAGCATCGAGATGCTCTTTTGAGATAATCATCCTTTTGATGACCTATTCACTAGTTATCACTTATATGTAAGTAGAACCCCTATTATCGAGCGTATTTTTAGGTATCGACCAAGATGTAATTAACCAAAGGGATGCACCACTTTGAGCTCTTGACCTCATAACGAAAATATAACTTTTGGTTCCCTGGTTAAATGGGTTGCATATTTTGAGATTTTCTTCGTGGATATTATGTTTTAAGATATGTCAATTTGATTCTATTTGTAGACATATACTCTTGATCTATCACATGAGGATTATCTTACATAAGCTCTTCATATTTCTTTTTAATTTGTTTGTCTATTTTTGTCTTATAATCTCATCTTTCCAATTCTTTTCTTCTCTAGACAATTTTTAATGATCCTTGAGAGAAATTTACTTGGAAAGAGGAAATCATATGATGACGATATATAAGTAGACAAGCTGACAAATCCAATTTTTAATTAAAAAGAACAAAAAATAACTAGGCTAGGTCAATTATGAGTTTTTCTTGTTAATAAAACTGGATTGAGGAAGATGAGTCATTCGAGCGAGTTGGAGGTACAAATGCAGACACTTTAAGGGATGGAGCATAAATTGATGATTTAGCTAATAATGATAGAAGCTGATCACCTTAAGGTAATTGCCTCAACTTATGCTTTGGCTTCTTCCTTGATGTTTAGTTAAGATAATAGAATGAGGCTTATAATTGGCATTTTAAGGACAATTGTCATTTTCATAAGCAAAAGTATCACCCATTTGGCATATACATAGTTTTCACTTATAGTTTTCAGAAGCAAAAGTGACATATTTTGGAACATTAGTCATCAACAATCTTTTCTAGTTGAGAGTAGGTTTTGAAGGCTCAAAGAAAATAACTCTTGCTCCCAAGAGAGAAGGAGAAGATTTTTGGTAGACATGAGAAAGCTGATGGATCCATGAAGCCTTAGTCGAGTGACCTCTAATCCAAACTATGCTCAGATTTAGTTCATGAAAATAGAGTATATCTGTAGAAGAAATTTGGGATGTATCTTTAATAAAGAAGAGGAGTTGATTAGAGTAGTGAGAAAAAAAAAATTATTTGAAACGCAACAATTGAATTTCAAATTAATGAATCGTCATTTGTGATTATTTTATTTTTTATCTTTTATTAAATTTTATTTTCCACCAAAAAAAATAGAATTTAATTTATCTTTTCATTTGAAATAAAATATATCTTACATTTAATTTAATATTATATATATATAATATCAAGGAATCATATTAATAAAAAAAATTAATCCAAGTATTCATTTGAATACTTCGGCCGGCCCACAAGGGCCACCCTTCGTGTTTGCCTCACTGATGCGTCGTTTGGGAAGGCCTATTTTAATTTTTAATTTATTTATTGCCGACGGCTTTCTATTTCTCTCTCCTTTTCTCCATTCCTCGCTTCTGAGCATTCTGCAGGAGGGAGAGCTTAGAGCTTCCACGAAAACTCTCGGTGCAGGCCTTTTTCGATCTTTGTATTGTTATGGTGTTATGTGTTCTTTAGATATCTGGATGGTTTGTTTATCGATTTGTTTGTGTGGTTAGCTCTTGTCCGATGGCTTCAAAGCGGATCTTGAAGGAGCTGAAGGATCTGCAGAAAGATCCTCCAACTTCTTGTAGTGCAGGTATATTGGAAGGGAAGCTCTATTATACTGGATCTGTTTTTGTTTGATTTCAGGGGATATCGTAGAATTCTCTGCTCGTGTGGTTAGGTTGATGCCAGGGTTAGCGCTTAGATTTGAATCTCTTGGTCCTTGATTAAACCTTTCGTTATTATTATTATTATACTTTTATTTTTTGTCTATCGGCCAATGATTTTGGCCTTTTGAGGCCTATATGTGAAACTTTAATAGCTTTTTAGCTGCTATTTGGGCTTCATAGGTTTGTGTTTTGATTACCCCTTAATTCTCTTTGGGATCAGTTGGCTTTCAGCATGCGCTTGGCTTCCTTCTGCAGGGGCGATAGCATGAGCAGCTTTCTATCCTGTTATGTTCTTAAGAGACAGTTGTGCCCTAATTTGGCAAGGAATCTATACAGTTTTTGAGTCTTCTTGTTTGAACAGTGTTTGGAGGGCTATTTTTTTGTGAGGTGATGTTGAATACACTTGATTCTGCAGGTTAAGCTGTAGATTATTTTTAGAAGTAGGTTTTAAGGACCTTTCAGCTGAAACTTAGTCAATTTTATTTTGTTGGTACTTGCAAGTATCATGGTCTGTCATATCAATGTGTTTTAAACATAAGTTTGTCATATCTAAGACATTTGGTAAGAGTTGAGCATATAGCTCTTAGTAGTTGGTTAGAATCCCTTGTGCCTGATTTGCATGTTTAGTTCTATGCCTTAATTATTGGTGTTGGGGTGGGACCAAAGGGAAATTAAAAGTCGGTCTGATGTACTAATGGACAATCTCATTTTCAGCCTAATAGCTTATGCTTATGGCTGAGAATTAAATACTTGGTATTTGGACACCCACAAATTTTCATCTTTTTGATGTTAGACTTAAACCAAATCTCAACTACCTTAACATTAATTTCTGGAATGGACATGCTTCTTATTTATTTTTGCTTGCTGCTTGAAATGCTAGCAAAAGTTGTTATTAAGTTTGAATTAATACTTAGGTAAATTGTTTGATTATTGTCAGAAGGTTAAGGTAAAGTAATATGTTTTTATTGGTATTTCTCTTTATTGTTTGGAATCCTTGTATTTGTTATTCCATCTTTTGATTGTTGTAAATCATTAATTATGGTTTCACCAGGAAAATTTTTAGTCCAATTGATGATTATTTATATTATTTGACATGTCTGATGGTTTATGTGCACCTTCATAATCTGTGGATATTAGATGTTGGTTTCATCAGATACAAGTTTTCATGTTGTCAAGTTAAGCTTAAATCAAAAGATTTTGCATTCAATTGTTTGTTTTGGAGATTGCACTTTTTGATATTATAAAGATCTGAATCATAGATGTTGGATATTGCTGCTCTCATGTTGGATGTGCTTTCTCACAAAATCAAGTAAAGCTTGAATTAAAAGATTTGATTTTCGTTTTTCTGTTTAATATGGAGGTTGCTTTTCTTGATTTTACTTTTATTCACTGTGAAATGAATTATTATTTAGATCAACTAGAAATTTTTGCTACCAAGTCTTTTTTCTTCAAGGGTATTCATGTCTTATAGTTTTTTCTTAAGAAAATTGTGATAGATTGATGGTGTTTGGAATGAAAAATTGATCCTCTTTTTAAATTGTTAATCTATTATGTTAATTGATCTTTACATTTTAAAACCAATTAGTAGCTTTAGATAGCATTATGTATCAAGTTCGCATGGAAAAGAACTCCTTTAATTTTCCTTAATTATGTAATCTCCAACGAAGCAAATAAACTAGTTTTGTATTATTCAACTCCTTACGAAGTTTGGATTTGATACCCTGCTTGTATGATCTTATGATAGTGCTTCATATTCTCTTCTATTATCTTTCAAGTCACTTGTCCTTAGTTTCTTTGTACTTTTAAGAATGTGATGTATGAATAAAATTTTGTTTTTTTTTGTTTGATTTTACATTCCTTAGTTTCTCTGTACTTTTAAGAATGTGATGTATGAATAAAATTTTGTTTTTTTTTTGTTTGATTTTACATTGTGGTTCATGACATAAGATTGCCAAACTCTCATATAGAAACACATGTACCACAAATTTATATATTCATTAAATTATAGGAAAGCTTCATGTGCAAAGTGATGTTAATTTTAGTTTTTTCTTTAAATAAATCTGTCACGACTTGGCCAGGGAGTTTGAAATTTTGAAGGCAAGAATGAGCGCTTGAACAGTACTGTTATATTATTCTAATGTTTATAACAATCAAAAACAATTTAAACAATAATGTGCCTGTTCATCTGAAGATTTATAAAACATTGTCTAAACCTATAAGAATATCTACTTTGCAACAACAATTTTAGTAAAGAAACTTGAACACAAGATGTAATATTTTTCTAATATTTTTTTAAATTCGCTCATCTCCTTCGGTAAACATACTCTGTTCTATTAGTCATTTAACTTAAATGAGTTTTTCCTATTATAACCGGTTAAAAAACATGTAAAGTTATAGAACTACTAAGTGAATGATTACAGTTCTATAATATATTAATTCCTCTATGATTTTTCTTTGTTGTGTTCGCCATGTAAAACTGATTTTACATAAGTATTTCATTTTATCAAAAACTAAACATTTATATTTCATTTTATGAAGTCATCTCAAGATAACCACCTAAAAATATGTATAAATAATGTAAAACATTTTTCATTTGTTTCCGAAGTCTTTTTCATTTTCTATGTGTGCGATTAAAATAGTGTCCCTAGTTAGTACTATAAGGTGGTAACTCTTTTGGTTGACCTATATTTATATGAACAATATGTTAGCACGAATCTCAAGGCAAACCGACAGTTCTGGAGCAAGGAACGATCGATCAGGTGCCTTATTGCTCACTGAATGATTGGATGCTGATGGAGAAGGCGTTGTGGTCGGCTACCAGGATAATGCGGCAAAGAATGTATTATAGAACGATGACTTATATGAAAAATATGTTAGCACGAATCTCAAGGCAAACTGACGGTTCTAGAGCAAGGAACGATCGATCGGGTGCCTTATCACTGACTGAATGATTGGATGCTGATGGAGAAGGCGTTGGGGTCAGCTATCAGGATAATGCGGCAAAGAATGTCCTATAGAATGATAATCGACTCCAAAGCTGATCGACGAGTTACTTAGTCTCAAACTGTGCACCAATGAGTTAAGGCGTAGCGAGCGGTCAACAGACTTCTCATCAACCGAATATATTTGTCAATCTTAGTAGATTTTTTTTATTTACTAAAAGCCCCCCTTCAAACCTAATAATGAGGGGGCTAACTTACAATTTTGTAATAACTGTGACCTATTCATATAAATCAGGGTCCATGTCATGAATAAAGGCGAGACACTTTTACTGTTCCCTACCGGGCCCTCTCTCTCTCTCTCTCGTGAATATATTCGCCAACCTTATTCTATTATTGTAATTATTAAAACCCCCCTTTAAACCTAATAATGAGGGGGCTGACTTGTAATTTTTTAATAACAGTGACCTATTCCTATAAATAGGTGGTCCATGTCATGAATAAAGGCGAGACTCTTTTACTGTTCTCTACAGTGCTTTTCTCTTTGACCACTTGCTAGCTTAATATTCTATGCCTTGGATGTGTTTCCCAGACATTTTTGGATTCAATATTATACAATCGTTTCACTTGATTTTTATTTAATTTCTTTCAATCTTTTGAAATGTGAATTAAATTTTCATTGCAAATGAGATGTATAAAGTTATTTCAAGACATGTTTGACAGTTTATGCGACTTTTATAAATTAAAAGCTTAATTACATATATTCATAAATACTCTCCTGAACTTTTGAATACTTTGTTTTTTTTGCATAATCTCTAACCTATTCTTTCTTTAGTATCCTATTAATACAAATCATTTTTTTAATTATAATATTTATAAGATAACAATATACAACATTTCTTTGTAATGGATTATATTTCATTTGTTTTTTGGGAACTTAATATTTCTACAATAATTTCATAATTTATATAACATAATATTCTATTAGTTTTAATACATTTTTAATAAAATTTTTTAATTTTGATCATATTACATACCTCAGGTCGACATCTTTCATTACAAAATGATTTGTTCTTCTTCCAAATTTACTCCTCTTAAATCTAAGCTCTTAAGTAATTCCTTGAATTTTATTTTCATTTTAGGGCATCAACATTTATACAACAAAAAGAAACTAGTGCAATTTTACCTCGAGTCCTTTTCTTGCGGTCAATAATCTCTTTTTCAATCCTTGGATTCGTATATCTTCCACTTCCAATTTCTAAAATTTTTTAGTAACATCTAATATTAATAATTAACAAACATTAAACTAAAATAACTATTTTTTATTTTAAAAATACGCACTAACCTTTAATTTAAAGGTTCAACATGTCGTTACTCAACCTGCATAACTTCTTGTCACCCTTCATATGGTACACATGGTTTCTGCATGCAAACATGCAAACTCCTGACGTTGAGCCAAGCCCTTCTTCCTTCTCTTCTATTTTGGTCTTGTGAGTTTGTCTCCCCCATTTCTGTTATAGTCTCATGCTCGTTTCCTTTACTGCATGCGACGTTCGACTTGATGGTTCCATCTCGCACAAGATGTCAATTTCTCGATCGAATCTTCTTCCCTCTTGCATGCGATGTTGATTACCTCTTTGTTTACTGTTTTACATGAAATTTCTCTTACTCGCCTTGCTTGCTTGTAGCAGAAAAAAATCCCGCAGGCCCTCTGCTATCTTCTAATTGATGGAAATGCCTAGTTGATTCTGTCGAACCGACATTGTCTATTTATTTATTTTTTTATTTTTAATTGAATTTTATAAATTTCTCCTTACAAATATTTCATCTTTAAAATTTTAAAATTTAAATAAGAGCAAACAAACCAATTTCTATATGTGGATATCATTTGAATTTCTAATGCTTTTTCGATGGTGGCATCTTTGTTTCATTCATATTTATATAGAATTGTTATAAATAACATTCTCAATTCTGGAGTCGCTTGA